AGGCATGACGTCACCAGGTGTCGGCAGGTGAGGCATGACGTCACCAGGTGTGTCCGTACCTGCTGGACCGGTCCTGCTAAGACGTTGTGCAGGTAATTACCGGGGATTAGGACCTCCAGGAGCCGGCTTCAGTCTCGCCTGAAACTCTCTTGGATAAACAAGCGGGTATTTTTCTTTGGGGGGGGGGTCTTTCTTAAGAGTTTGTAAACCCTGATTTTAGCACTCTGAAACTTAGTCGTGTTCATGTTAGCATAATTATAGTCTTAATTCACCACATTCTGTACTCATTGTTTTGTCACTGTTTGCATTGGTCGTCGAGCACGAACTTGCAATAAAGAACTCAATGACTTTGTAAGATTGAATCCTAAAGTGTTGTTTTCGATCGCGTATTTTATTATTATTATTAGAAAAAGTACATTAAACATCATATCTTGCTACAAACACAGCGAAGAAACTAGAAGTCCCCTAACTATGGAACCAGAAATGACAGACACGAACATCGTCACCCGAAAGTTTCTGGCACCTGCTGGCCTTTTTTTTATTTATGACATTTATTCCAACATTTCATGACTAGGTATGGTGACGGCACACTCAAGTTATATCAACTTATTTTATGCCGTCACCAACACAGAGCACTAATACAGAACTACAGGATACTCATTGTCACTTGAGTTAAGTGAGGATAGTTATGTAAAGTGCCTTTCCCAAGGGCACAAGATCGGTGGCATGTCAGGACTCGAACCCGGGACCTCTTGGTTCCGAGTCGAGCAGGCCGATTTGAGTATCAGACAACTGAAACAGACAAACAAACTTTTCCTCGGTGACTGAGCGTGAATCTAAAGGAGGACATGATCCATTGTTAATGGTGCAGGGCAGACAGATACAGTCCGTGGTTTCTCTATACAGACCAGAACAAACAACAATCGGAGGTGTGTGGAGTGTTCGCCTCGGGAACCAAGAGGTCCCGGGTTCGAACCCTGCCATGCCACTGTTCTTGTGTCCTTGGGAAAGGCACTTTACACGAATTTACTCAGGTGTAAATGAGTATGTCTGTTGTTCATGCGTTTGTCTGCGTTGGTTGCCGGCACAAAAATAGGTTGGAAAAACTTGATTGTGTTGTCGCCATGTCTTGTGATAAATGTTGGAAGGGAAAAAATACACAATCGCCATCCTACCGCTCTGGTCCTGTCAACATGCTTATCTCCAAGCAGATGTGGGGAGTAAGATCGGACTGTTTTCTCACTGGCGGTCGAGCTTCAAGTGGTACATGGTGAGTCACCTGTTAGAGTGAGTTCTCTTGTCAGAAAACGTTACTCCAAACGTCTGCTTGGAAATTAAAGACACGTAGCCACACAGGCAAGAAGCCGAGTCATAAGGGGCGGACAGGTACAGGTACCGACTGTAACGTTACACCCGACCTAGGGGTCCTACATGTACAGGTACCGACTGTAACGTTACACCTGGAATTGCTTCAGACTGTAAACTTCCCACTGGGACAGGTTAAAACTTTAAGCTTGTTTTCTTTTCGGCAATAGAGTGGGGTGGTGGCCTGGTTAGTCTCCTGGTTTAAAGACTGGATGATTTTGCCAAATAGAGAGAATAATTTGACAGGAGGTTTAGACACCACAGGTTGTCGTAGTGCTTTAGACACCATAGGTTTTTCGTGCGTTGGTCAGGTTTTTCGTGCGTTGGTACGGGAATGTAATTTACAGATCTAACTCGCCGTGCGTGCGGGACTGAGGGTGATCGCGTGATGTTTCCGACCAGAAGGCTTCGTCACAACCCAGCTACAGGTCACATCAACCGACAAAACTGCGGGTACTGCCATGCATGCACAGCCAAGTACTACTACTAGGGACACAGAGAATCATAGAAAACAAACCCGACCGAAAAGCTCTTGTTGGAGAAAAGACCCGCCATACAGTCACTATGACATCACGGCAGCCACTCCCAGTTGGAACACTGTGTAATTTATGTGGCATAGATTTGTGCTAATAGCATTTTATTCAGAAAAGACATGTTCATGAGAATGAACCGATACGTAAAGAACAGGCCTAGGACCAACCCTCAAGACTCACGAGTGACTCATACCTTATACAGTCTCTGCGTCAACACCTTGAAAATGTGATATCATAGTCACCTGTTTAAAAAAGTGCTATGTCAGTCCTCTTACAATGAAAGTTAACCACAACCAACTTCCTGTAGACCTTATTATAGCCTAAAACTTGACACTCGGATATGGACAGACACGTAAGGCCCGTATGGGTATACAGAATCGTGCCTATGCCCAACTTACCGTGCACGTGGTTAAGGTTAGGATCAGGCACGGTTCTGGAAAGTCCGTGCGTATCCAGAACCGTACTACTCGGGCATGGGTCTACAAAATGGCTACTTCACGACCTCAATGATTGTTGATATGAAAGTCTTGGGTAGGATTTGATTCAAATGCCGGTCCACAGACCCTTTTTAGTCGAAATGGAAGGCACAAGATATTTATAATAACAAGATGATTTAGGAAGGCTTTTTAAACTGCAGTCTCCAACACACACACAAAATATCAAATGGGACGTACCAAAATTTTCATAATGAATTCTGCTAACACAGATGACCTTTTATCTAACAGAATGGGGTCGGGGTGACATTTCTGAAGAATGGTAATTATGACGAATCCCCGCCCCAAGGTTATAGTTTTGCCACAGTGTTAGTATTACTCATCGCTGACTAAGGCCAAACAATCGCCCTAGGAACAGTGCAGATGACGGTATTTCGTCATATTTCTCTCTGGCCGGCCAACCCCCTGATATAGTATTCCCTTTATTTTAATTTGGCCAATTTCAACTATTTTTCGAGCGATCCGCGGTGCCTGATAAAGGCTAGCAAAGAACACAGAAGGGTATCAGGGTAAGATTACAGACTTACAGCACAGCATCTGGGTCAAGCTACTGAGCGTAGCTTGTTCTCTGTCGGCGGATTACACGTTAAGTCTTTCGTTCTGAAGGGACAGTGAAGTGGTTCGGATTAACAACAACAATACAGGCCCCGTCCTGTTTTCGTAACAGTTTGTGCAGGCAAAAGATTTTTCATCCGATTTGTTCGGATGCCATATATAGATTCTGTTGCTATATTAACACACCTGTTTTGCCCAAGGACTTAAGGATGTTAGCCTCCGTAGCAGGCTTATAGAACATGGGGGTTTGGTGGTCTTCGGCTGTTTTCTAGATCTGATTAGCCCAGTTCGGGGGTAATTCAACCAGGCCGGCTATGTTGTCTATATGCAATCAGAAAATAGCACATAAAAGCTCCCAAAGACCCTGAAGACCCCCAAAAGCCCCAGTTTTTGGCATGCTATGGAGGCTATAAGGATGTAATGTCCTTGTCTTGCGGTAACACAGAACCCTGGTCGGTTTTATTTCCGGATGTAACATGGCCCGTTTTTAATTGGGGTATAACAAAATCAAGAAAGAAGGAAAACTAGAAAAGAGACTCTGTAACACTATACTAGTACATGTGTACATGTGTACAGTAACCGTTCGGTTTTACTTGTGGTTATGAATGTCAACCAGATTTCAGCGTTGTGTCACAGACAGAGAACAGTAACTTTCTCCACTTTGTTCATTGTTGTAGGAGCTTACGGTGTTTGTTTGAACACCTTGGAGGAAGTCACAATACGCCGGCTCTGGTCTTAGACTGGCCTTGGTGTATGTCCTGAGGTGTAACGTTACAACTACAGTAGCCTGAAGCACAACAATGGCTTACCTGTCCTCCATAACACTTAACTAGCACATGTACAGTAACCGTCCAGTCGGTTTTGTGGACTTCCTTGTATCTATTCTGTACTTATGAAAGTCCTTAAAATGTGAGCTTACTGTTTGTTTACACCCCTTAAATTTAGTCCCAGACTGGCCTTGGTGTAGGTGTAACGTTACTACTACAGTATTCAATTGAAACAGTCCGAGCACCTATAGCTTACCTCCCGATGCCGTCTGTAACACTATATACTATCACAGACTGGTCATACTTATATATACTTATTATGCGAACTTAGTGCATGTTTACACGCCTTGAACGGGTAGCCACAAGAAGCGGTGCCTAGTTAACCCTACCTAGACCGGGGGGGGGCTAAAAGTGCCCGCGGCAACTTTGATGTCACCTAGCGTCTGAACGGCTAGCCGTAGAACGACCAAACTTGGTGACTTTTCCTAAAATATTGTTGGCAACAATTCTCTATCATTGGAATAAGATAATAATTTTTTGTGTTGCCATGGCAACGGGTTTCTGACAGGCATTTTTTGCTAAATTTAGTACTTTTTGTTTCAACAATAGAATTTTATGGGTTTTATGTCAAGTTACTCATGGTTTCTAATATTAATAACATCCCATAAAATTTTATGTAAATTTTATCATTAAATATGCATAATTTATGCTAATTTTATGACGTCATTGGCCAAAATCCAAGATGGCGGACCATATCATTAGAACAGGTATATACGGGTTATTTTCATTAAAATTTCATCAATACTTCCATTTCTTTTTACAAAAAAGGTTTAAATGAAGGTGTTTAGTATGTTTACAATGTATTTTAGGCTTTATCATGAAAAAAAAACTATTTTTGAAAATTCAAGATTGATGATCCAAGATGGCGGATATCTTAAATATGCATGACGTCATTTTATGACGTCACCGGTGTTGCTATGGGCAACATAAGACTTAGTACACACTAATATTCTGTCATAAACACTTTTGGTAAAGTTATGTTGTATACCAGGGAGGTTTTCAGGGAAGAACCTATTTAGACGGTTTTGGCCAATAAAATCACATTAATGACGTCATAATGACGTCATATTACGTCATAACGACATAAAAATTGTAGATATGATAAATTTTCACTAGTACACCATTCTCTGAAAATTTGGTGGTCATACGACATACCGTTCGCGAGTTCTTAGGGGGGGGTCAAAAGAGCCCCCGCCGGTCCCCCCATGTCAAAAAAAGCCCGGTCTAGGTAGGGTTAAGACTGGCCTTGGTGTAGGTGTAACGTTACTACAACAGTAGCCTTAACAGTAGCACCTATAGCTTACCTGCCGCCGAGCCCGTTCCTCCCACGATCAGAATCACCGCGAACCCCAGCAGGCTGTACGGGGCAGGGGCGTCCCTCCTCCCGCCCATGGTGTGCCGTGTGTCCGGTGGGGTTAGAGGCGAGGGAACATGGAGGAAGGACCGGGAAATGCGGGTTTGGAGTCTGTCAGCACTGCTGTGCCCTCACAGGAAACTGGCTGCTTCGCGGTACGTGACGTCACGCATGATTGACAGCCGAGCCGCACGACAGGACAGGTAGGACGACCTGAGGGGACTGTTCCAACTCGACTCAATCGCAGGGGTGAGCCAGCCCCCACCAGGCCTTTCTATGGGAATACGGATCGTAGAATTCGGCAAAAAGAGTAAAATTGGCCAAGGGAGTCCGGCCGCGAGGAGGTAGTTTCTTTCCCTCCGAAGCGCGGCCAGTCAAACCTACAAGGTGGCCAAACTCCCCTGGCAAATATTCTCATATTATAGCTAGCGTAGTTAGTCTGGTGTTGTCATGATATCTACAAGTAGAATGCGACTTAAGTAAATTTTTAGAAGCCTTGGAATGTTCAATGTTGTGGCTTGGCGCCATCTTACATACTTGACCGATCAGTCATCGCTGTTGACACAGCAGATTGCACAATGGAAGGTCTTTGGGGCAAAATTGTTGTGAAACCTTTAGAAAATAGCCATAGGGGGAGGCTACGTGTCACTTTTACGTACAGCGTAATCAGCTGTTTCAATGCCATGTAAGTCGTAGCCGGACCGCTAAAATTTAACGTTGAGACTTGAGTGATCGATGCATCCTACTAATGGCATCGTGTGCTTTGCTGTGACCTTTTTAAAAGATAATGACCCAACTGTTTGTACAATGTAAGGTCTTTGGGCAAAATTGTTTGTGAAACCTTTAGAAAAGGGCGTGGATGTTCGCCGTAGTAAATAACTACTTAATCCCCGCTTTCAGTCGAGGCTGCTGTAACAGCGTTGAATAAATCTATTTTTACGTCTTTCAAGTTTCTTACAGATCACCTGAGGACAAACCCGCATGTATCACGTCTGTACAATTTTTGAGACAACACTCAACAGGAGGTGCACAGCCTGTAATACTTGAACCAGACGGAGCAAATGAGCCACTTCTCCAGGATTAAAACGAACAGAAATGCATCTCAATCCTGCTTTTAATATCAGCTGCAGTTCAAGTGATCTCCGCAAGACGGCAGGTTTGAAAAGGCAGGAACCGAAAAATGACTCGGTTTTTCAGAACTCTCGTTACCAAAGGCACTGTTGTTGACCCTGTTTCTCACATATTTTATACAAATAGAAGATTCTGTTTGACTAAAATTTTGTGAATGATTGTTCTTTATGTGTGCCTGTGTTGTATTATATTATTCATGTATTTTGTTATTTGTTGATTATGCTATACAACAAAAATCCAGGTGAAACCATAATGGCTTTGTCCTGATATGTATAGAGTATTATTACTGTGTTATTAGTTCCCTGTAATGTCAAGGCAATTCATAACGTGCACACGTGTCTGTGTATTTGTGTTACGTTGATGGTTGCTTGAATAAGGAAAAAAAAGTCTTCTTTTATAGGTGTCATTTCCTCTGAACTCCAGTGTCTGCGCAAGAAATAACAATAAAGATTAATCCATACGTAAATCAGTACATCTTCAGACAGTTTTATTTTTATTCCTTTGATTTTTTTATCCACAAATCCTCATGGCCTGCTCTTTGCTTATTGCTCTTCTAGCTACATTGTGTACATCATCAGGTCTTCTTCCAACTACAAACAAAACATCCGTGAAGATTACAAACAAAACAGTGACGTTTGAGTAGAGTCAGCAGACTATGGTGTGTTCTACACTACATGTACCTCTATTCACAACAGACCAGCAAACTGGTACCACAAAACCCCCTCCCACCAATACCCCCTCCCCACCATACCCCCCCTCGGCACATACCCCCCAACTTTACAACAGTAATTGGCAGAACAGTCTACAGAACAAAACTATCGGATTACACGTGGACGTAACAACTTCAGTAAGGTGACACCCGTAACTTCTAGCATGGTCCCCTGCTTCATTCGTCCGCCGCCTGCTTCATTCCTTCTGTCCGTTCTCCGTGGGGGGTGTCTCCATCTCCTCCTCCTTGACCTCTGCCAAGGTTGGCTTGGGCAGCGTGACCTTGATTGACCCCACGGTTTCCTCCAGGTGCGCCCGCGTCTTGTCCAGACAGTCCTTGTAGGCTCCGCATGTCTTCTCTACGTCTTGTAGCGTCTTGGAGGTGTCGGCCAGCTTCTTCTTCACGTCCTTCAGCTCCGAGGCCAGCGTCTTGGTCGTCTCCTCGCTGGAGGACGTCATCGCCCGCAGAACATCTGTCAATCACAACAAAGGTTAGCTGTCAATGAAACACAGGCTAGCTGTCAATCAAACACAGGCTAGCTGTCAATCAAATTTCATCTGTCAATCATCAATGTTCATCTGTCAATCACATAAAAGGTAATTTCTTAAATTTCTCTTCTGTTCACATGATAATATCTCCATGTTTCCAACGTCTGTTAGAAATAAATACACAAACAACACTACTTTGTCGACACTGTTTTCCACAGCCACTCTGTCCATCTCGCTGAGCTCACTTACAAACAAACAAACAAAGAGCTCACCCAGGTCGGCCTGCTGGTCCCTGACCTTGTCCTCCACGGCGACCCTGTCCCGTTCGGAGCGCTCGAGGCGGGACAGCAGGTTGGCGATGTCGATAGTCGCGCCCTTGTACAGCACCATCCCCGCAGACGTCTCCCCGACGGACTCCTTAACCTTCACATCCTCCGTCTTCACCTTCACGTCCAGGTAGCTGTTGTTACCTAGCAACGGGAACATAGGAGATTTGAGATGGCAACACTAGAATAGAACTTGTTGAAGTTAAAAATTTTGATCCAACACAAAAAGTTCTCTCATCTAGAGCTTTTGACCAGTCACTCTGGTCTTCCTCAGTAGACTGACCCAGTGAAGCTTGTCACATGGCTTCTTTGAAGTGTGACATCAATACTGTGTCAGTCTACTGAGGAAGACCAGAGTGACTGGTCGAAAGCTCTAGGTGAGAGAATTTCTTTTGTGTTGGATCTTGAGTTCTAACTTTTAACATGTAACTGCCAAAACAGATGAACTTTTATGATAACACTAGTAATTGTTTACACAAGTTGTAGAAAGAGAGAAGAGCATTTGTCTACACACATACAGAGACAGGATACTATCCTCTCGGTAGATATGGGTAACCCCAACCACAGCCAGCCAACCTTTGACCTTAAGACCTTTAACCCCTGCCCCTTGACCTACCGACGGCGAGCTCCTGGTCCTCAGGCATGCTGGGAAGGCTGTCGGCGGGTTTGTCCTTGTCGGCAGCGGGTCGGTCGGTCAGCTTCCGGTACGACAGAGAGTCTCGGGTTACAACTTTCTGCACCAGCTTTCGGATCTGTGGACGCAGGAAAACTCCAAGTTAGAAACTAGAAAGGTAACATTTGTGAAGTACATGCATATCGTTTACCTTGACATTTATCGTTACCTTTAAACAAAACGTTTACCTTTACCTAGCTGGTGTGTTACGCCGAAGGGCGGTTATACCGGCTATACCGATACAGATACAGACATGGTCTAGCCTAACGAACTACTACTCTGTTTATTGTTACACATTCAAATATATGGTGACCAGCCCCTCCAACTGTCTTGCTTGCTTCATGTCAAAGAGGGCCCCCTACCTGTGCCCTAGATAACTGCAGGCCAATGGTGTGCATGATCTCCTCCAGGTCTCGGTCCAGCAGGTAGCCGCAGTGGCTCTGGTCGAAGTACACAAAGGCCAGCAGAAGCTCCTTATCCAGCGTGAACTCCTTCTGTCGCTCACGGCTGTGCCGATCCTTCTCTCGAGACGACTTCCTCTTCTCCTTCCCGCGCTTCTCCTCCTTGTCCTTCTTGTCTTTATCTGGGGGAGAAAAGATTAAGATGTTAAAGTGATCGCAAATCAGTATATTTACAGCCCACACGGGGGAACTACTCACTTAAATACCAGCCTATCAACACACACACAGACACCTACAGATTTTCATTCTTTCCCCGCACAGTGGAACTCCCTGCCTGGCTCGATGGTCACGACTCCCACTGTTGAGTCTTTTTGAGCCGCCTAAGCCCCAGGGTTATATGGGGGTATTTATGATGATGATTTATGATGATTTAAATGAGCAGTAGAGCAACTCTTCCTTAAGTCCTGACAGATGCTATGTACAATATACATGTACGAGGTTGTTGTAACGGGATTCCCAAAGCTCTTTATGTCAGGATTCTTTGAATTTCATTTTCTTAGGGATTTTGTGTTAAGTCTTCACCTTTCTCCTCTCCCTCCTTGTCATCCTTGTCTTCATCTTCTTCTTCATCTTCTGAGCTGTCGTCTCCCTCCTCCTCCTCTTCCTCCTCATCCTCCTCCCCATCCTTCTTATCATCATCCTTCTCCTTCTTCACTTCCTGAGGAGGGAAAAATGTAAAAAAAAAATCAGCTTTTCTTCTGACATGCTACACCTCATGAGGGAAACACGGACAAACAAGACAAAATTAGACTTTCCTTCTGACATGCTTCATTTCCTGATGTAGGAAACATGAATAGAAAAGACAAAAATCAGTCTTTCCTTCTGACATGTTAGCAACAATCATATACTAAATGGTGTGAAAATTACAGCACCTTTTCCTTCTTTTTTATCTTTATTTCATTATTTGGCTTCTCCATTGGGACAAAACCCAAATGAAGGGGGAGACAAAACAGGGGACTGTTCGCCTCTACCCGTTGTATCCACTTCTGAGATGTTAGTAATAATCGGATACAAAATGGTGTTGAAAATTACAGTACAGGTCATGAAAGGTGTTCAATTCTCGTTCTCCTATTAAACACATTCATGTATAATACATGGTGACCAGCCTCTCCAACTGTCCTGCAACTTGCTACATGACATAACCCAACACCACAGTGTGTCTGCTTCAGAACCAGTAACCATGGTGACAGACGTCTGGTCCAGGTCATTGACCTTATTCATTTAGAGAAGTAGAAACAAAAACAGAACAAAAACAGTAGAAGAAGAAACACCAAAATCTGGAAACCCACTTTTTCTTCCTCATCAGTTTTCCTCCTCTTGGGTTTGGGCTCCTCTGAGTCCTCTCCATCCTCCTTCTTTTCTTCCTTCTCTTCCTTGTCTTCTTTTTTCTTCTCTTCTTTCTTCTCCTCCTTCTTGCTGTCCTTGTCCTTCTTGTCCTGGAAGATAGGGGGCGTATGTGAGATACAGATTAACAGAGCAACCAGCAATAATGATGGACTATTGTGGTATCAAGTTGTAACAATTGTCCACAAACTGTCTTACATTCTTTGAAGTACCATGTAGCATCATTGAAGAGCAGAGAAATTTAAACATGGCGCTAGGAGGAACCTTCTCTTTAAAACATCTTAATATTTGGACAAACTGACAGGCAAGAAAACTATCTTGCAGGAAAACTTGTCTGGCTCAGGCTGAGCCTTGGATCACAACTAACTTTTGTGAATATCCTGAGATGATAACTTAAGGTTATTAACACCTGACACCTTCACCTGTCGTACCTTTTTGTCCTTCTTGTCTTCCTTCTTAGGCTCAGGTGCCACCATCAGAGCTCGGTAGATCTTAAAGGCGAAGTCTCGCTGCAGCATCTCATTCAGCAGCTCCGCAAACAGGGACACCTGAGAGGGAAGAGCGGGACAGCAGAACTTCAACATAGAGAGAAACTGAGACCGTAAAATAGAACCCACTTGTCAGAGAACTAGGAGTAGATCTTGGGCTCTTGTGTGTCCTGAATCAAAAGTGGTTCCAATGTTCCATAACATGATGGCAAGAAACAGTGAAGATGGAAGAAACGATGCTGTCCCACCTCGAAGGAGTGCTCCTTGTTGTCCTCCACCCTGTAGTCCAGCAGCACGCTGAGAGACATCACGGCACAGTCAAACTTCCCGCCTTTAGCGGTGGGGGAGGGGTGCACGATGATGGCGGGATTCTCGGGAAGCGTGTAGCGCCGCTCGCGGGTCTTACGCTCTCGTTCCTCCTCCTGCTTCTTACGCTCCTCTTCCTAAAACAAGGGCGGAAAAATAACAAAAGTCAGAAACAGGTGGGTTGTCAGGCAGGTCAGGTAAGGCATGTATCAAGGGGTAACAGAGGAGGGAAAGTAAATGGAGGAAAACTAATTCCTGTTCCTCCTCCTGCTTCTTAAACTCCTCTTCCTAAAACAAAAAATAACGTAAGTCAGGAGTGGGTCAGAGGTCACAGGTCAGACAGGGATTGGAGGGTCACAGGTCAAAGTTCTAAGGGCCAAAGGTCAGGCACAGAAGTAAAAATATATGAAAGAAAAAACATCCAAATACAGCATTTCAACATTTCAACAATTGAAAGCAGCTAAGAATGCATGCCATTTTTCAAATGCACGTTCCTTTTAGGTAGGGAAAAGTTGAGATTATCTGATCTTTAAGGATGATGCAGGAGTCTTACCTCTTTCTTCTCCTTGTCTTCCTCCACCTCCTCCTCCTTCTCCTCCTCTTCCTCTTCCTTAGCCTCGTCTTTAGCCTCCTTCTCCTCCTCCTCCTTCTCCACCTCCATCTTCAGCGCCTTCGTCAGACGCGCGATCAGCTGCGACTTCAGACCCTTCGAGTTCAGCCCACGGGCCTCTAACTCTGCTCTCAACTCATTAACCTGCAGGGAAACACACATGTACGTCAGAGATGGCAGACTTCACCCCTTATCCATGTTGCTTTGCCATCCTTCAGGTCTCCTAAACAGAACCAGCAGCTGAGGTTATGGCTACTAACAATCTAATTGTTCCTGGTGATGATGATCCGCTCCCATTTTTCTATTGGTTGTCTAACCTTCATCAACAGACCTGATATAGGGATTTTCTTTTACACAAACAATAGTTCCTTTTACCTTGCTTACGTTTTTGTGTCTATCTGACACCTTCCTTCCTCAGAGCTTCTGACTGGAGTTCTGCTTCTTCTTCTATACTGGTTGTGTAAAAGAAAATCCCTGTATCCTATGCTCTACCAACCTGATGAAACTATTTGGGGAAGACCTGGAGTAAAGGAGGACTTCCACCACTTGAACCTACATAATGTCAACCCACAGGATAGGGGCAAGTGGCAGGCTGCCATCAAGCCTCAGTATTGCAGTGCAAGCATGTCTAACCCTTGGGAGACGGGGAACAACAGACGATAAACCAGATTATCTGAATCTAAATCTGAAAAACATGGCGTTTTCTCACCTTCATGGTCTTGGGGTCGAGCTCCGTGTGATGCGTCGGCGCCTTCTTCCCGCCGTCATCGTCGCCCCCTTCCTCCTCCTCCTGGTATTGCAGGGAGAGAAACAGCGGTATGAGACCCTGCGAGCGGCGGCGGGAGGGGGGCAGTTTTATCCGGACTAAAGCTATGCTACACGAGCTTCGCTTTCGTGTCCAAAAAACGGGAGACAACAAGAAGCCGGGGTTTGGCGTTTGGTTGGACAGACAAGTCAGCTGAATTTCTCCGTTAGGAGCTCGTAAGGAACTCACAAGTTTTCCTAAGGGAGGGGGAAGCACTCGGATTACACCGTGTCTTAAGCACGTAATTATCCTGCTGTAGCTCCACAAGTTAACAAAGTACACGTCACCTTTACTCAGCTCTGTAAGACTTTCTGTAAGAACAAAGAGTAATTAAACGTGTGGCGAGTCAGTGTGTGGTTTTAGTCGTGTGTGATAAAATGGCTCGTTGGTTTCTAAAAAACTATCGGTAACTTTTCTGGCAGGTTTTTAGTCTGCCAACGACAGCGACATGCATCCAAATGCACGGTGGGAATTTCGGGGTTGTAATTTCTTCCTAGTGGACAACAAAGGTCAGAGGTCAAAGGGTCGTCTCCATGGCAGCATGAAGTTAAAGGTCATTCCATCATTGTAGCAAGGTCGTTTGTAACAAGGTGGCAGGAACAATAAATAGTAGTAATGGTAAATAACAACAACAATAACAACAAGGCTAGTCGGTGTGTGTGTGTGCATGCGGCTATGTGTCTACCGGCACCCTCAGGGTGGGAGGGGGGCAGTAGGTTGATACAGGTGGTGTGTGTAGGGTTGTGTGGTGTCTGTGGGTTTGTGTTTGGGTTGTGCAAAAATACGGTGCTGGTCAATGCCTGAGATTCCCCGGCCTCCTCCGCCTTTTCCTCGGCCACCTTGCGTGTCAGCTGGGCTTTGTACCCGGCTGAAACATTGGCCCAATCTAGACGTGGGGGTAAACAATGCCACACGTCCGGCAGGAACAGCACCGAGGTCTCCACTCGCTCAGGAATCGTCTTCCCCTTGTAGGTCTCCGCCGCTCGGTGGTAGCGAACCTCGGCGAACCGGTACCTAGGGGAGCGATTCGTAACGATAGGGGTTATGAGAGGAAACGCCGACAGGACAGTTGTTTGTTTGTTTTTTATTTATTGTTTATAAAGTGGCGACCACACACGAGGGAAAAGTGCTCCGGCTGAGTTAGGTTGGAGTGGAGCAGAGAGGAGAAAATCCACACAAGTTTGCGGACGCTCTTCCAACTCATGGTGGCACAAACCACACAAACAAAAACAGAAAAAAACACAAAAACAAGCAAGCTAAAGTGACCGTTGCCAGGGTAACAAGAGACACAGAAGGAGGTGAAATGGGGTAAAAAATGTCCAAACTCTTACTCAGACCAAACCACCAAAAACCTCTAACTCTAGCATCCAAACTGTTACAAAAAGCCACACAGAAGAAGCTTTGCTTGGTACAACCCTGAAGCAGCTTTACAGAGCAGTCCATTCCAGAATACAACAAGCATCATTCTGTACATGATACGGACTATTTGGGGCACTTATGTACAAATTAACACTCCAATTTTACATTAAAACGTTCACTATAACCCCCCCTACAACTTTTTTTTACAACAGCAAGCCCCCTCCTCCAACTTAATTCTACATATTCATTCCATAACTAAGCTGAACACAATATTCCTCCCGTGTTTGTAACCCTGCAGAAGGCATGTCTGCCGGTTGCCATGGTGATATGTAAATGAGCATGCATGCCCCCCTCCCCCCGAGCCAGACTCACCACTGTGTGCAGTTTTTCAGGTCGATGCCGGTCAGAGCTTTGGTGGTCCTGATCGCCGTCTTGATGAGGACAGACGGGTCCGTGTCCGGGTTCGGTCCGTCTAGTGAGGGGGACCAGGGGCCTCCAATAGCTACTGCCTCGTTCTTACCCTGTCAATGATCAATAAACTATAATCAATAAACAATAAACCATAACCAATACCTTGGTATCAATAACCAACTAATCAATAATCCAAAAAAAAGTCTCAATCTCAAAAATAACACTCAATACATAACCAGACAACACCAACAACCCTCAATCAATAAAAATCAATCAATCATCAATCAACACTTCACCAGTCTTCCTACCAGCCCTCAGTACTTAACCTCTTGATAAATTTTTACTTTCAAGCTGAGTTAGCAAGGAAATAAGTTAGCGAATAAAAACACTAAAAGAACAGTTTAATCACCTTCATGCCGACGAGGAACTGAATGAGTCGAGTTGGATGCTGGAAAGTTTCGCGGACGTCGCTGGCGTCTTCGGCCAGGGCACAGGAGCGGTGGTAGAGTTCTTCTGCTGACGGGCAGGCCATCAACATTACCTATGGGATAAACAACACAATATCATCAGTAACTCTGTAACAACAGACATAACAGCACAGGAGCGGTGATAGAGCTCTTCTGCTGACGGGCAGGCCATCAACATTACCTACAGGTGAAACAACAACATGGAAACTCAGTAACTCTGTAACAACAGACATTACAGCACAGGAGCGATGGTATGTAGTTCTTCTGCTGAGAGGTAGGCCATCAACATCACCCGAAAACTCTTCAACATGAACTGATTTAAGACAGAACCTCTGCGTATCAGTGCCTGTATCTTTATGTCCAGAATCTGAGAGAAAAAGTGTCAGACACTCATTGTATTTCTCCAGGGAGACAAGGAATAACACAGATATATGAAAAAGGAGATTATTTAAGAAAATTCCTTGGCTCTATACAACTTACAAGTGATCTGTGTCTGTCTGTCTCGACGGCCGAGCATAAAACATTTTACGTTTGTACTGTACAAAAGCACACGAGTTTCCTTCCTCTCTTCCAAACAAACCCACCTTAGCGCTGTACAGATGGTCTGCATCAGGCGGCTCTAACACAGTGTCGTTTTTCTTGAGCGGATCCACCTCCTTTTTAAAAAATTACCTTGGCTCAATTCAACTTACAAGTGACTTACTGCTTCTAGTGTTTTCCTTGAGCATAAAACAAACAGTTGTACTGTACAAGTGGTTGGATAACCACACTAGTTCCCTTACCTTAGCGCTGTACAGATGGTCTGCATCAGGAGGCTCTAACACCGTGTCGTTTTTCTCCAGCGGGTCGACTTCTTTGTGCATGATGTGGAAGGAGGAGGGGTTTCCGATCTGGAACGGCCGGTGGAGCGGGAAGGCGCCGGTCCAGCAGAACCGGGCGTGGAAGAAGTCGCTGGGAACGTACATGTTGGCATAGCGACGGCGCAGCTCCGCCACGCTGGCCGCTTTCCTGGGGGGGGGGGGAAACATTTGAGTGCCAGGCAATCTACCTTTGGAACAAACTACCAAGGGTTGGACAAGTTTTCAAAAGTCCACTTACCGTCGGGCAAGTACATGGTCATTCCTACTTGCCCAAATCAACTTTTCAATTGCCCAAAACATACATGACATTTTTATATGCATATTTCATACCAGCAAGGAAATTATAATGCTGCATGCTTTATTTATCAAAATAAAGGTGGTTTGAGACTTGCAATGGATTTTCTGACAAAAGGGTGTAATATAATATCATAATGGCAAAATTCAAATTATACAGAGTAATTTTGCTCCAAACACCATAGCAGCTATACTTCGCATCTAAAAAGTACAGGGGGATATTCACTTGCCCGAACAGTACTTTTACTTGCCCTGGGCAAGTGGGCAATGGGAAACGAGCAAAAACAGTATCTTCAGTAAACATGAAATCCTTACTGATCCAGTGAGAACTTGGCGAAGGTGACCATGTATCGCGGGACGATCCTCCTCCTCTCCCGTCGCGGCGACCGTCGTCGGGGGGAACGGGAGCGTTTCCGTGGCGACCGTGACCTGGGGCGTCGCTCCGAGCGCTCGCGTGACCTTGAGCGGTCCCGTGACCTGTCGCGGCGGTCCCTGTCGTCACGACGACTGATGCGGGGAGGGGGTTCGGGGCGGCGCGCCGGCGCGATTGGACCTCGGGTGGGCGGAGCCAGCAGGCCGGCTGCATGGGGACCGGGTAGTCATGTTTTAAAGTTTTATTCACATTTATTTATTGTGCATGAAACAAAAGGCAAGATGCTTATAAGAATTTCTCCACAAAAACAAATATAGTCCTGCTTTTTTATTCTAATCTGTATTCACATTTTCTTATTGATCATGAATTAAAAAGGCAAGAGGCTTATACTATAGGAAACCCTCTCCTCAAAAACACAAATATGAAACAATGACACTAGACAGGAACAGGAAGTTCCATTAAAATACATTTGGAAAACCCTACAGATTGAGCAACAATCCAATAGCTCATAATCATGATACAGTTGTACTGTAAATTTTTTCCTTTGCAGTGTTTGTATTTTCACATGGGATTTTTGCTGGCAGTCAAACACTGGAAACACGTGATACTAATATAAAGTGTTTCATAAACTAGACGTGCTATTACAGTAGAAACACAAGAAAAAACCGCTTCATAAACTAGAAGTCCCAGACCCTGCTCACGTTTCTGATCCTGTCCCTGCTGCGGTCCCCGGGACCACTTCTGGTGGTGGTGGTTTGCAGGGGGCTGGGTGTGCTGCGACATCAGGGGGGGTATGGAGGAGGGGGTGATGCCGGGACCCCCTGCCTGGTACAGCTGCGGCGCAGGGGGGGTCACCAGGGGGGAGTGGCCAGCGCTCACAGGGGGGTTCTTCAGAAGGGGCTGCGTCTGCAGGGAAACAACCTAATATAATTGATCGATCAATCAATCAATCAATCAGTTAATCAATCAACCAATCAATCAATTCCTTTTTTTCAGCATTGGCTGTGTCTGAAGGGTGATCAATCAATCAATCAATAATTATTCAAACAACTCGCAGACAAAAGTCTGAATTAAGGAAGGCGTTACTCATGTTCATGTTATTACGTTTAATAAAACATGTTCAAATGCATGAAAAACACTTGTACTGTACTTACCTGGTTGGGCAGCACCTGTATCCGGGTGGCGTTCCACTTGAAGGGCATGTTGGCGTTGTAGGTGGCCTCAACAAGCACCCGGTCTCCCACCTGGGGGGTCTTGCCCTTACACACACTGGAACAGGACGGAAGAACAACAACATGGTCTGTCACAGATACAAACTTGCCATAAATGTTCCAATTAGATAAATGTAGGCCAGTTTGACAAACTTTGGCCTCCCTTGCACAGACATGTATCATGAATAGATCTTTTTTCTTCTTATTGTAATCTTTAAATAAACAATTGATGTTGTCTTATTATGCTCCGACTTTAGTGACCTTGGAACTTTCATATTGTAACCTACGACCTGCCCACCTTAACCCCTGACCTCTGACCTACCTGAGCTGGAAGAAGACATCCTCATACACAAATCCGAAGTTGTTGTGCAGCTTGGTGATGGAGTAACCTATGACCTGTGACCTGCCTACCTTGACCCATGACCTGCCCACCTTAACCCCTGACCTACCTGAGCTGGAAGAAGACGTCCTCGTCCACGAAGCCGAAGTTGTCATGCAGTTTTGTGACAGAGCCGGTGAAGACACGCTGCTTGGGCTGCTGCTGCTGCTGCTGTGCTGCGCGGGGCGTCGGGTAACTCACCGTCAGCTGCGACCCCTGACCCATCTGTGGGGCGCCCCCTGGCACAGGCTGCTGTACTGCAGACAGCGTGGTGGGATGGCCAGGCCGGGCTGGGGGGGGGGG